GTACATAGAGAACTAAGAAAAGAAACCAAAATTAAGGCAATAGTCAACTCTAGGGAAAACAAAAAGTTGTACATAAAAGGAAATGTAAGCATAGTATAATATATTGCTTAATTATTAATAATATGTACATAGGCAAAATAACATAAACACTCAAATTATTTAACCAAAATTTTGATTAAATATAGTGACATGAAAGGGTGGGAAATACGCATGCTAATTAGCTAGTTTAGTACAGCAAAATGAAGAAATGGAAAAATAACATGTTATTTTGAATTATGAAAGAAAATTCCATAAATAACTAAAAGATTTCAAAGTGCTGAAAGTGGTTGCTTCTGGAGAGTGAGAATCAAGAATGGAGTGGGTGGGATTTGTTATAGGCCCCACCCACTTTAGAACCATTTGATTGTTTTTAGAACCATTTGATGTTTTAAAATATGAGCATGTCTTGCTTTACTAAAAATTTAATATGCTCGCTCCATACTCAATTAGCACAGTGAGCCACCAACTCAACAAACCCTGCCCTAACATACACAAAGCGTATCCTAATCACGTTTTGGTACTTCATAACTCATGGACAACTTTAAGCAACAATTTTAAAGGTTCTTCAGCTAAATCTTATTTCAAACACTACCTTCAGGAAAAAATTTCTTTTTAAATAAATGACACTGAGTTTGATCATTCCTAACTATATACTATTGTTAAAAGACACATAGTGTGCCCTTAAAAATTCTTCAGTCTTTCACAGATTTTATAATATTTCCAGTTAGATTTAAACTTTGAAGATAAGGAAGGGGTCATTCATCATTTATTACGTTATCTCCATCCACAGCACCTCTTCAAACCAAACTCTGTATGGCTGAAGAAAACCAAGGATCTGGTAAGCTACAGACATGAGCAATACTTTTGGTACTGGAAAAGAATTGAGAAATTAACTCATTACCTTTAACTTTAGAAGTGAGCAAAGAAACCCAAAGAGGTTAACTATAATTAGTTCCTAGATAAGAAGTTATCTGTATTTGCCATCTGCTTTGATGTTTGGCATCCTTATCCTATTATATATTAATTTTTAATATATAGTATCCTATTTTTTGAAAGCTAACATTTAAAATCTGAATCATGTTAAATAGAAAGGAAAATAAAATTTTATATACATCTAATAATGCCTGCTCTGGTCAGACATAGGTACTGCCCTGGTGAAAGAATTTCAGGCCTATAATAGAGAAATTTAGCAAAAGATAAAATACCACTTTCCTTTGCTGTTTGCAAATTGGATCCATAGTCATTTCTTCCCAGTTTTCCATTATTATTTCCTGAAGCAGAGTGAGTTACAGCAAATCACCCCTAGAAAGGTGATTTGATTATCTTTAGCATGTGGAATCTGTTACTCTCATAATGCTTATCAGCTCTGACACAAATTGAACACATTAATCACCCCAAAAAAGAACTCTGCAAGAAGGATAGGAACCAGTGAGTTTCACTGATAATGGGAAAATGGTTCTTTTTTTAAGGAACACGTTGCTAATATTAAGTTGAAAGAAAAAGACAATTTTGGGGAAGAGAGTGATAACTATAACAATGGATAAGGAAAATGAATTTAAATGGATATTATGAGAACTGAGGGACTCAGTCCTCAGGGCAAATCTTACTTTGGCAATTATTTATATTTGATTCTAATGAAAAGTATACCAGACTCCCTTTGGGCCTTTTCGGGGATGTAAAATTTGGAGGAGGGCTGAAAAGTCTGAGTTCGAAGATTAGCATCTTATCTTTTTCCGAATGAACATGGATTTATGCCTTCAAATGGTTAACACTTATCTCTATGCAGCTGGAAATACAGCACAAATGGGAGCCTTTGAGTGTTTAAAGCAAACGTGGAACCAAAGCACTGCAGGAGAAAGGCAGGGCAGGGCAGCGAGGAGGGGGACGAGGGGGAGTTGCTATCAGTAACTCGCCCTTATCCCCGTGCCCAGCCTGCGAGGCTGAGCTAGACCCATCTATCACTGACGCACAGCGAGTCTCAGGCTTGTCCCTTTGACAACAACGTCCCTTTTGTTACCTTGCTATTATGCCTGGCAGCTTCTTGTCCATGAATTCCTGCATGCACTGGTGTTCCGTGGAATGGCTGAGAAACCTCCGGAAAGATTCAACATATCTCCCGTGGTCAGAAAACAAGCTCCTCATGGAAGATGCCATGTTTGGTTTTCTGAGAAAGACAGAGTGGGAAGCAAGGTTTAACTTCCCCTCCTTCTCTTCCCAGTTCCCTCATTCTTTCCCCACCCCCACCAGTTTCTATCCAAAAAAAAAACGCTAGGCTTGTTTTGAATTTAACATGCACCAAAGGCTGGCGTGCAGAGTTCATTGCTGACTCAATGTTTGAACAGCACTTTGCACTGATACTTTAACCCCTACACGGTTGTTTTATAAGAAATAGAAGTACTAAAGCAAGGCTGTAAATACACTGCTAAAACTTTTCAAACTCCTGATGTTGAAAGGTCATAAAAACAGACTGTATTCAAATCACTTCCTGTTTTGTCAGCAGAGCCACAAGTAAGTTCCAAGTGTGAAAGTGACTGTTCAAAGTGGCAAACGCAGGATGAAAAGGACAGCTACACAGCACTCTCAGAAATCTACAGCAGTGAAATCTTTGACGAAAGACTGTCATCTGCCTCTGGGCTTTCTACAGGATTGTTTTGGCCTTTACATCCCTCAGCACTTAAATTTTCAACTTATGTGCTGCATTTCTTCACACAATGCTGCATTTCTTCACACAAATGCTGATTTGTGGTAACTCAAATTATCTTAAGAGGAAGTCACCAAGGAGGAGCCCAAGAACTCGTAGCTAGAAGCTGTCAGAAGCTGCATTTAGGGGATTGAGAGTGGTGAGAGAAGTCTTGGAGCAAGAATGCAGGACACCAGGGTAAAAGCCCAGTCCGTAGAATCCTTCCCTAAGCACTTTGAACACGACGAGGTCAAAGACACTTCGCTTGGCTGGTTGAGCCTTTGGAAACCCAGTGGTGTCACCCACCAGAAGACCCAAAGCTTCAGAGTACTCACACACAGTCTTTCTCCTGGGAAGTAGTCTTTAAGAAGGTATCTAATTCTTTATCTAATACTGAGTTGTTAATAATAGCATCCAACTCATGGAGGAGTTGTGAGGATCAAATGAGTTAACTCATTATAAGTCTCTTAGAAATATGTCTGCTTAAACCGTCCCCTTCTAATTGAGTTCCCAAACTGTCCTCTAAGCATTCAAAACACTCCCCAACTCCCTTTGTTTTCTGTTTGTTTGTTTTTGTTTTTTGAGACGGAGTCTCGCTCTGTCGCCCAACCTGGAGTGCAATGGTGCGATCTCCGCTGACTGCAACCTCTGCCTCCTGGGCTGAAGTGATTCTCCTGTCTCAGCCTCCCGAATAACTGGGATTATAGGCGCCCGCCACCACGCCTGGCTAATTTTTATATTTTTAGTAGAGACGGGGTTTCACCATGTTGGCCAGGCTTGAACTCTTGACCTCAAATGATCCACTCACCTTGGCCTCCCAAAGTGCTGGGATTACAGGCATGAGTCACCATGCCCAGCCCCCAATCCCCTCCCCCAACTCCCTTTTATAAGTATGTTTTGTTCTCACTATTCTTAGAGCCAGTGCTTTTACCCTAGGGGAAAATGGAACATCTGGATAGGCAGATTGCCGTGGATGACTCTGTCCTTAATGAACTGTGTGACTTTGGCTGAAATATAAGCTGCAGTTTGCTCATCAGTAAAATGGGAACAACGAATTTTATCTCATAGGATTGTAGTGAGAATAATATAACTAATGTTTAAAAAGTGCAAGCCAGTCCTTTCTGCAAAAATAATAATAATAATAATAATAATAATAATAATAAAATAACAAAAACCATCGTCACTTTATTCATGGAAGTTGAAATTTGAGTTTCATATCATTTTCACATGTCATGAAATGCTATCATTCTTTGAATTTAACCATTTAAAAACATAAAATTTATTGGTAGCTCATGGGCTGCACAAAACAGGTGGGTAGGGCTGGGTTCAGCCACAGGCCCTATTTGGTCAAGCCCTGATTTAGCTCCTCTGCCCTTCACTCATCCTTGGATAAGGTCTTTGCTAGTTCTCTACTCACATCTTTATCCAGCCAGCCTTCCGTTTCCTCAGATTGACTCTGACAAACTTTTGCTTGTATTACCATCTTCCATTTTTCTCTTTAGAGCTCAACCCAAATCATTCATTCATTCATGTGTACATCTATCTGTTTTTGTTTCATTTTAACCCAAACCAAAAATGGCCAATAATGTATTCATCTATTGAATAAATGTTCAGTAAGAGTTGCTGTTGGCTATTCTGCTGAGGAATACTCCTGACATGACTTTCTCTTGGAAAGCTGCTGCTAAGACCTCCCTTAACTGAAACTTGGTCTACTGAGACTATCACCTCCCTTGTCTGCTGTCAGATATTCTCCAACAGAGCCTGCTCTTCATGTGGATCCCATTGAGGACTTCCTTTCTATTCCCACTGTTTCCACCCTACTTGAGATTCTCTTTATTTTTCACTTATTGTGCTATTTAAAAAAAAAAAAAAACTTGTAAGTTCAAGGGTACATGTGCAGATTTGTTGCATAGGTAAATATGTTTCATGGGGGCTTGTTTTACAGATTATTTCACCACCCAGGTATTAAGCCTAGTACCCATTAGTTATTTTTCCTGATTCTCTCCCTCTTCCCACACTCCACCTCCAATAGGCCCAGTGTGTGTTTTTCCCATCTAATGTTTCCATATTTTCTCATTATTTAGCTCCCACTTATAAGTGAGAATATGCAGTATTTGGTTTTCTGTTCCTGCATTAGTTTGCTAAGGATAATGGCCTCCAGTTCCATCCATGTCCCCACAAAGGACATGATCTCATCCTTTTTTATGGCTGCTTAGTATTCCATGATATACATACATCACATTTTCTTTGTCCAGTCTGTCATTGATGAGCATTTAGGTTGATTTCATGTATTTGTTATTGCATATAGTGTTGCAATAAACATTCACATACATGTGTGTTTATAACAGAACAATTTATATTCCTTTGGGTATAATATACCCAGTAATGGGATTGCTGGGTTGAATGGGATTTCTGTCTTTAGGTCTTTGAAGAATCGCCACACTGTCTTCCACAATGGTTGAACTAACACTCCCACCAACGGGGTATAAGTGTTTCCTTTTCTCAACAACTTTGCCAGCACCTGTTATTTTTTTACTTTTTCATAATAGCCACTGTGACCGGTGTGAGGTGGTATCTCATTGTAGTTTTTATTTGCATTTCTCTAATGATAAGTGACGTTGAACTTTTTGTTCATATGATTGTTGGCTGCATATATGTCTTCTTTTGAAAAGTATCTATTCATGTCCTCTATCCACTTTTAATGTTTTTTTTTTCTTGTAAATTTATTTAAGTTTCTTATAGATGATGGATTCTAGACCTTTGTCAGGTGCATAGTTTGCAAAAATTTTCTCCCATTCTATCAGTTGTTTATTCCTGTTCATAGTTTTCTTTTGCTGTAGAGACGATCCTTAGTGTAATTAGTTCTCATTTGTCAACTTTTGCTTTTGGTGTCTTCATCATGAAATCTTTGTCCGTGTGTATGTCCTGCATGGTATTGCCTAGGTTGTCTTCCAGAGTTTTTATAGTTTTGCATTTTATATTTAAGTCTTTAATCCATCTTAAGTTAATTTTTATATATGGTATAATGAAGGGGTGCAGTTTCAACCTTCTGCATTTGGCTGGCCAGTTATCCTATACTGTGCTATTTTTTTAATTGGGTTTCCTGCTTTAGGAATCACACAGATCCTAACCAATTTTATTGCCACTGTCAACTTCATGATTTTTTTTTTTAAGTTTGGATAAAGACAGTCTTTTCTTTCTCTCATAATATTTAGTCTCCCCACTGACCCCCAAGTCAAGTACAAGATCCACTCTGCAGTTCCTCCAATATCCAGAATTGTGTCTCATTTTATCTCTAGTTTTGCATTTATATCCCCTTCAAATTGTGCTGCTTCTCTGGATACGTTCCTATGCTTTTTTGCCTACAGCCTCTCTTCATAATAGTTCCTTCTGTAACATGCTGCTTCCTTTCTTACCACATCCACTGAAAAATTTTCTATTCTTCATATGCTACCACTTTCATATATCCTTCCATATTTCCCTCAAAATAATCAGCACTCATGCTCATAATTTCTGATATTCTTGCAAGTATTCATCCTTGTGTTACTGTTGTTTAATATATTTGCCTTAACTCCCCTGCTTGTCCCCATGTGACTTAGCTCATAAAGACAGGAACTGAGTCACAGCTACTTCCCTGATGTGTTGCCCAAAGTAGACTTTCAGTTCTTTTTTAAATAATTAAGAATGTGCTTGAACATTTACACTCTTGAGATGTTCTCTGCTATCAGATGTCCTCCATCCTTTTCATTATTGAGTAGCTCTATATGTTACCAATAACACCAGAATTCCATTCCTTGAACACTTACTATGTGCCAGAAATTGTATGGACCTTATAAAATTTAATGTAGTATTTACTCTTTGTAGTACCTCCATCAACTTCCCCCTATTACAAATGAGAAAACCTAGTTTCTGAGAGATTAAGCTACCTAACCAAAAACTGCAGGACTAGTGTTGAATTGTAGGTCTGTCAAATCCCAGGACTGGCGCTCTCACAAAAATCTTTATATTCAGCCAAAACCTGCTGCCGGGTAATTCTTAGATAGTACTCCTATTTCTGGTTGCTTAAACTAAACAGAAGTAATCCAGTTCTGTCTCCATATAACAACCATTAAAAAACTTGAAATCAACCATCAGGACAACCTTACTCCCCAAGGTGTCTCTTTCATAGCTCCTAATTATTTCTTCTGCAATATAGCGTTATATAATTCGTTACTCTAGCCCCTCCTTTGGAAATACTCTAGTTTGTCTGGGTTTCTTTAAAAGGTGATGTTTGAAAATAAACACAATATCCCCAAAGTTACCTAAAAAGTGGAGATTTATTTTCCAGGCTTACACTAGTGTTTCCCAAAGTTCCGCCCAACTCAACTTCTTTCAGATTTTACTCTGCAAAAAAAAGGGTTCTACAGTCAAATAATTTAAAAAGTGCTGAACTGAGTAGCTTCCTCTGGATATTTATAATGCACATTAGTATATTAAAGATTCATAAAACCTTTGTCACATGTCCTCTTCAGATGCAAATATATCATGGCTACGACATTTCTCTGATTAGTCTTGCAGTCCCTCAAAAGA